TTCAGTCACTCTCAGCCCACGTGGGGTTGTCTGGAGCAGGCACAGGCAGCCCCATGCGGGCTGCGAGCAGCTGCAGCACGGGGCGAGTGAGGGGCTGCTTTTCCCCTGTGCTCAGCACCAACTTGTAACCTGCCCTGCTGCCAGCCTGGGCTCCATGCCAGCTCCAAGCCCACCCATCAGGGCTGTGCGCAGCAGCTGCAGCCTCCTCACCTGCCACGCTGGTGACAAACACTGCCCAGCGCAGCAAGCAAGGGGGCTGCAGCTGCCGTCACCACACGCAGCCCCAACAGGCAAGCCCAGAGCTGCGCAGGGCCCAGGCTGGTAGTGGGGCCAGGTTACAAGGTAGTGCTGAGTGCAGGCGGGGAAAAGCGGCCCCTCGTCCACTCCGTGCCTGGCGCCCTGCACTGCAGCTGCTCGCAGCCTGCATGGAGCTGCCTGTGCCTGCTCCGGACAACCCCATGTGGGCTGAGTGGCTGCAGCAGGGGGTGCCAGCTACGGGGCAAGGAAGGGCTGCTTTCCTCGACACTGGGAAGGAGAAGGGAAGGAGCCCCGTGAAAAGCTGAGCGCAGGGAGGGGGAAAAGCAGCCCCTTGCCCACCCCATGGTCAGCGCCCTGCACTGCAGCTGCTCGCCACCTGTGTGGGGGTGTCCGGCACAGGCAGCCCTGTGCGGGCTGTGAGTGGCTGCAGCATGGGGCGCTGGGCATGGAGCGGGGGAGGGGCCGCTTCCCCGCCTCTCTCGCCTGCGCTCAGCTTTTCCCCGGGCTCCTTCCCCCTGCCCCCCTTCCCCCTTATCTGTGGTTTCAGTGCAGTGCAGTCACATGGTCCCAGGCCAGAAGCTCCTCCTGGGCCTTCTGGCTGTGGGGGTGGGGCCAGGTGGGCCCTGCTGTTTTGGGAGCCCGACAGGCTTCCCTTGAATCCTACTGCCCTTGGTTCCTGTCATTTTTGACAGGAACCAAGGGCAGAGAAATATTAATTTTCTAAATTTTTTTGGAGGCCTGCGGGCTGGAGAGAATGGCTTTGCGGGCTGGATCCAGCCTGCAAGGCCGTATTTTGCCCACCCCTGATCTATACTTTGTCATCATCAGGACTATATGTTTTAGTCCTTTCCCAGAAGCTCACTTTGTGTATTGCAAGTTGGAGGTCACTGCTACTTCCTTCTCTGCCCCCAGTTTACTGTTTTAGTGTTGGAGTGACTTGCACCAGAATTGTTTGGTTACACCCAAAGAGCTGTCACTGGTCCGTTCTGACCTTCTGTCCTAATAGATCTGTCATTATTCAACCCAAAAGATGTACAATATAAGAAATGTGAGTTACTGCTTTGGCACCCTGAATGTTTCTAATTGGAAGCCAAAAAGCCTTTCTGTTAAAGGCTTGCCTCCCTACAGCCAGCATCCTTAGAATTTTTCTTGTGACCACAATTTTTCTTGGGGCCTTCTTCAATTTCCATCCCAGTATATTCCTGACTATGAAAGATAGCTCAACAGCATTTTTCAATAGAAGCTACTTTCTGGGAATGGAAGGCTAATTTGGTAAAGCCACTAAAGATCTAAAGGTCTCTTTAGACATGAAGTAGCAGAGGGGATATCAGAGGTAACGGTTACTGAACTGTTGCTTAAAACATCCACCTTCGACATTTGATTAAGTTTAGTTGGAAGTGTAATAAATTATACTGCTGTCATCTGTCTTACCTGAATTAGTGTGAGCATGCCTAGAATTGTTGAGCATCAGTTTCAGATGTGTAAAACTATTAACTTACTGTCCAGTACTATTTCTTTTTTATGGTTTTATAACATTAAAATATCTGAACAGCTTCTTGGTTAAGGATATTGTTTTAGTTAATTGAATTACTTATTTCAGGAAATTACATGGAAGAGTTAGTAATTAAATCCCCTCTGCTCTCTGGGAAAGTAGAAATCTGTAATTTCTTATAAAATCAAAGACTTGTAAGGCTGTGTGACTTATGGCTGTTTAGTCCTTTTTCTTGATTCTGAAGAACACTCTAGTATGTGTAAAAACAATAAGAGTTGGAGTTGAGCATTGGATGAGTTAAAATCTGCCTTGGTTTAGAAATTGAAACTTGGTGTGTTTTTATTAATCGAAAATATAATTGCTTTTTAGTGTGGCTCTCAACCTTCTAGTTGGGGCACTCTCCCCAGCATCTCTGAATTTTTGCGGTATCCCTTTTTGAGAACCACTGTTGGTGCTGCTTCAGTGTTGCATCACAGCTGGATTTTTTAGGTGCTGTCTGGTAGATGTGTCTCATGCACCTGCTGCACAGCAGGCTCGGGAAGAGCTGTGCACACACCCTCACACTCTTCTGTCTCCTAACCCAAAAACAGGCCAGAGACAGGTTTGTGCTATAACCCTGCCTGGTCTGGCCCTGAATAGTGTCTCAAACAGAGGTAAACTGAGCAGGTGGAACTGTCCTGCGTATTTCTCTGGGAAGAGTGAGGGAACCAGACTACAAAGGGCTGCAGTACATACCAGCTTTCCTGTCTGCTTTAGGGTTATCAGAGAACCCTAATGAGGCTCCTATCTCTACACATGTACTACAGCACTTCCCAGGGCACAGGTGGTGATGCCTATACTGCAGCACCCTGGATGAGAAGCATTATTTTAGACATTACTTTGAAAAAAAAATTTTATTCCATTTACAGATTGTAGTGCCCTCTGGTGGATAAGGAGAACAACTTGATTATTTTTACTAGCATAAGCAGACTAAATTAAAAAAAAACCATGTGGCACTTGAGCAGTTTTTCATAATTTAAAACTACAGGATGAAATCTTAATATTGATTTCAGTAGGCTCGGAATAAGCTTATATGGACAAAGTAACATTTCTTTTCCAGAAAGAGTATTGCCAGTTAGAATTCTGCATCAGAACCTAGCTGAAGTAGTATCTAGAAAGCCATCTGAAGTAATCCTGGTCCTGATGGTCACATGTTCTTTGCCTTTTACAGTTTCTCTTCAATTCCTATACTCTTTTGACCAGAAGGTTTTGTTCTTAAAATGAAAATGAAAGTTTTAAGTAGATTTTTTTGAGGGATGGTAATTTTAGATTTAATACAGCTGATAAGGGTTTTTACCTTTTTACACTTGGGAATAACAAGGTTTTTTAATTACAAAAAAGCTTTGCATGCTATTTTTCCAACTATTACAGGTATATGATGATGGAAAATATGTATATCTGGTAACAGAACTCATGAAAGGAGGAGAACTGCTGGACAAAATTCTTAGACAGAAATTTTTTTCAGAGCGGGAAGCCAGTGCTGTCCTCCTCACAATAACAAAAACTGTTGAATACCTCCATGCACAAGGGGTAAGTGTTCTGCTGGTAAAAATCTATTTTAGAAATGCCTTTCCAAATGCATACTGAAACACCCTTGTTCTTTTAATGGATAAATTCACGTGTGGCTGAATTATTCCATAATGCAATAAATACTTGATAGAAAAGATGTACTCTGCACCAAAGTTTTTCTCAAACTGTGGAACTCCCCATATATTGCTCGAGTGGACTGATAATGAATAAAAAAAATCTAATACCTGAAGAAAATGCATTTAATTAAATAATAGAAAATTAAGGCTGGAAAGGACCTCAGGAGTTCATCTAGTCTAACCTCTTGTTTGAGGCACGATTATCCCTGACTAAACTATCTCATTCAAGTATTTGTTTAACCTGCTCTGAAGTAGTCATGGATGTGTGTGTACGCACACACATGCACACATACACACACACTCTCTCTCTCTCTCTCTCTCTCTCTCT